GGCTGAACTACAACATAAAAATGAACGGCTGGCAGGAAAGTTGACATTTTAAACCTTAATAAAAAATCGATACAGGGCTTTACAATATCGATACAGTATCGGGAAATGAAATATCGTGATATTTCAGTGTATCGATATTTTCTTACACCCCTAGTATGAATCTCCAGCTGGTCAGAACTCATTGATTTTTTTTGAGAAAACACATGGGAAATGCAAAATACTTATTTTAAGCCACTGTTAGTCATTTAAAATTAGTTATTTATTTAAAATTCCCATAACTATAAAATTCACAATTTCCTCAGCTTCATTTTGAACCATTGTTTGTAAAAATCGAGTAAGAAATAAGGAAGTTATAAGAGTTTTTCATCAGGATGACGCCTGACAGTCCATTGACCTCCACTCATTTTGTTGAGGCTCCTCAATGCAGAACAGAGCTCCAGTGTGTGCACGTCAATGTAGCTAGCAACGCACTAGCCACGCCCAATCCAGTAATATACATATATTTCAATGGTCACAGTACTTTCAACAATTACACCGGTATTTTTCTTTTCATCACAGCTCAGCTGATTATGAAATGTACAAACACTGCTTAGTTACTCTTTTTCTGCAACACAGAAACTAACTTCTTTATTTTACTGTACTGTCTGTGTTGCTTTTCCCTCCTCTACTTGTCTTTTCTAGTCACACATTTTGGTCCAGTTGTGAAGGAGGGTTGAGCAAAGATCATTATCTGGCCTATTGTTTTATGTTATTAAAGTTTAACGGGACGACTCAGCCTCTGTGCACCAGTCAACTACACCCCAGTACAAAAACCACTTCCCCCAGGCTTTTCACAATAGAAGCACGTTAACGTCTCCATACATTTACATCGTTCATTAAATCTATCCATGCACTTCACCGAAGAGGGGTGTACTACCAGTGGTGGGTGGTGCTAATTCTAATTTTAGTTGCTCAATTTCAAAAGTACTCGTCAATTTATTTAGGTCCGCAAGTTCAAAAGCACATTTGCTCAACGAAACTTAGCAGAAGCTAAATAGAAAGCGCAAAATTATCACTGTTCACCAGAAAACCTTCAGGTAAGAGGCAAGTCAGCACTTTACTGCCATCTACAGATAAGATTATTTTCTTTCACAGATTGACAAATCTCGACGCAGTATGGGGAGGTGATTATTCGAAACAGACTTTTGAGTCATGGTCTTAAAGCAAAAAATAGTCGTGGATTGCTAGTTCTGCTGCTTTATAGTCATTTTCTTATGTTTATGGTAGGGCTTCAGTAAGAAAACATGCAGATATATTAGTAATTTTAAACTGTTTGTTGTAAAACTGAAGCAATGCATTCTGGTTAGGCTACAGGAAGAAGAACAAGAACCCGTTCTTTTCAAAATAAGAGCGTGAATTTAAACTGTTTCATGTTTCTTTATTTATTATTATTTATTTATTTATTAGTTATTGCCATGGTGTCCCTCAGAGAGGAGGTACAAACTGCACAGCAGAGCATGGTTCTGGAGATCAGAACTGCAGGTGGACTGTCACCCAGTGAAGAAGCTTCCTGCCACACTAAGAAAGCCGTCACACAGAAAGACAGTAAATCAGAGTATAAAGCTCTGTCAACACAATGTTGCCTGAAGGTTTGCTGTTTCCACACAGTGGAGCTTCATTGTGTTTAGTAGAGATGGCTTTCCCCTCCAATGTTAAAGAAAAATGATGACAAAGTTAAATGAATTATGTGGCTACAAAACATAGTGAGCTTAGACGGCTCTTTCCCTTTATTTTTGATGAAATTGACAATCGAATGTGAAACATTATTTGTGATTAGCGCAACTGAATTCTACATTTAGAAAGCGCAAATCCCCAAATCATTTAAAGAAATTAGTAAAAACCCTGAGGCGCAAAGGAGAAATTTAGGTCCGCAATTAGCGCATTTGTGCTTTAGGGGACTAGTGCCCACCACTGTAAACTACACTCAGCGATGGTGAAAACGGGACTTTTTTTTAAACATCAGTCAATATAAGCAGCAGAATCGCCACCTGCTGTTAGTCATTGAGAAGCTGCTCCAAAAATAACATTAGCTTGCTAATGCGCATAGCGGTGCTGCGAGGAAAAGTGTCCCAGCGAAACAATTTGCGACGTAAGATTCCGAACGTGTTCAGGCTCTTTAAACCGGTATTCAGAAAATCCATATCATAACAAAAAAAAAATGGTTTTAGGTACAATCCAGTAAATTGCCCAGCACAGTAAACCTTTGTTCTTCAAGTAGTGAAGGAGGCCTTAGCTGTTCATCAGTCTGATTCTCCAAAGAGCCATGTCCATAACTTTTCACTGCAAACAAACAAATTATATAAATGTACGCGGTTTATGTACTATAATTTGATATTTAAAAATATATGGCACATGTCTTTTGAACAGCCCAAAATAACTTAAACCTACAGTTTTTTGTTTGACTGATTTATTTTTGTAAATCACTATTTCAATAAAAATCATTATACTATTTAGATGGTTTCAGCTCATATAATCATTTAATACTATTTATTTTTCAAATTTGATTATTTATTAAATACATTTAACCCAGTGCAGTTCTGTCATGGTATGATTTTAAATATAAAGCACATCCAAAACCTTTTAATTCCTATAATATGAACGATGAAATGTGTTGATATTTATGGTAAACTACTAAAAGATTTAAAAGGGAGTCACTTACAGAACATGGGGAGTTTTTAGTTTTGTTTTGTTTGGGGGGGGGGAGGTAAACATGAGAGACTCATCTTTGCTATAATATGGGACAAACAAGTGTTAGTCTGTTACAGTTCATATTATGTAATTAGAAGAACTGAAGCAGTGAATGTCACAGAGCTCTCTGCTGCGCCTGGCCTCACCTCATCGGACATCACAAAGACCCGCCCTGCTCTGCTCTGATTGGATAAAACTGAGGCTCTGGTGTTTGTTGATTGCGTTTGTTTGATTTGCTGAAAGCAGTGTCCGTTTAATCCTGGATCATTAGACCGGGCAGCTTTAACAAGACCACAACAGAAAACAACCAGAGGTTGTTTTTTATTTCCCCCAAATTTTAACAATTTATGGAAATCCTTCGTGGAGATGGAGAACAATGAGCCCTGCAGGAGGTGGGGATAAATCTCAGCTCAGTGTTGTATAAAGCAGTGGTTCCCAAACTTTTTATCTTCTGACCCACAAAATATCCATGGCAAAAACTTGTGACCCCAAATATTACTGGTCTGAGTACACGAACTCCGTTAATAACCCTAAAAACACAGGCTTTTTGACTATCTAAACAGTTTGTACACAAATATAAATACTTATTTATACTTATTTTGTGTTTTTGTAATAATTATAGGGAAAATATGACATCAGCAATTATTTTATTACCCTTTAAATTGATTTCTGGAGATTATCCAAGGTGCTTCATGACCCATGATTGGGTCCCAAGCCCAACGTTGGGAACCAAAGTGCAGTGGTTCCCAAACTTTTCAGCTTTTGACCCACAAAATAACAGTAGCAGAGACCTGTKCCCCCAACTATATTTGATGATAAATATTTATATCAGGTCAACAAAACATGGGCATAGTAACAATATTTTTTATACTACATTTATCCATTTTAAATATACTAACCTCACTCCTTTGTAACAACTAAGACAAAAATGTAATTAATTCAGAAAATCTTTTCAGGACCCCACCTTGATGTTTCCCCAACTTTGGGAAACACTGGTATAAAGTACCACAAAGTGATACTTGAGTAAAAGTACAAGTATCTTACCAAAAAATTACTTTGGTAAAAGTTAAAGTCTCCTTTAGGAATATTACTTGAGTAAAAGTCTGTATCTGATATTTTTTGTACTCAAGTATTAAAATTAAAAGTATTGATTTAAAATGAGCACTTAGATTTTCTTTAAGGACATTTATTAGGAGGTGACCTCCTCAACAAATACAGGAATGACTGTTGTATTAAAATAATTAATTTATGTTAAATTTAGGATGCACTAGTCCAGCTGTTTCAGTTTATATACATATATCAAGGCTGCACAAACCTTTTCTCCAAAATGAAAATCTATCTGAGGGCTGCAGCCAAATGTAATAATATAATTCATGAAATACAAATACTTCTTAAGTACAGTCCTTTTATTTTAATGATTATGTCCTGTTGGAGTGTGACATGATTTGTTTGTGTACAAACTAATACACTATCAGAGTTTTATATATTTATACTTCTCATTCAATCACAGTTAAATTCGCTCTTATCTAGGAGGCACAATTTATATGGAAAGTTTTAATTTTTTTACAATAACAAGCTGGAATGAAAACAAGCAAAAATGAAATAAAAGTAACGACTTTCTACTTCTTGCCTTTTTTAAAAATGTAAGAAGTAGAAGTAAAAAGTAGGCTGAAAAATAATTACTCAAGTAAAGTACAGATACCCAAAAATTCTACTTAAATACAGTAAAGAAGTATTAGTACTTAGTTACTTTACAACTCTATCTCAGCTAATACCACATCAAATATCTGCTGAATATCTGGAAAATCTGACTCAGTTAATCAGTTGTAGACGTTCATCAAACTGTTACTTTTTGAGTATCATTAAAATCTGTTTAGTGGTTGTGAGATATTTTGCTAACACACACACAAAAAACTCAAATTATTGGTGGGTAATTATTAGCAATAGAGCAGGAAAATGCTAATGTCTTCCCGGAGCGTGCGAGGTGCTTGTGTGGATTATAAAACTGCACATCATTTGCATGGCCTGCCCACGCTTTTACAGCATCGCTCCCATGAAAATACAGTGATGCTGATTAAAAGTCAAAATCTGCACCCTTTGCTCTGTCGACAGGAGGAATATTTGATTTTTGTTAAGTCATGCTGAAATGTAGCGTCCCTGCGTCGGTTCACTTCCTGCTCTCTGAACCTTTGCGGCTCAGCCTGAAGAAACGTGGCGCTGCGGAGCGTGACTTACTGGTGCAGGAGGACTCTGGAGGGTCACTGTCAGCCCGATAGAAACCGTTCTGGCAGGGACAAACGTTGGCTCCTCGTGAACCGGTGCGGCTGTTGGACGGGCAGGGAGCGCACGATCCCTCTCCGAATTTGGATTTGAAAGTCCCAGGGATGCAGGCTACGAGAGCGGGAGAGGAAGACAATGAGAGGTGGAGGAACAGAAACATAAACACACACACACAAACAAAAAAAAACTGTACTGCCACTTATCTAAAAGACCAGCAGCTGTCGCATCTGTCATGTAACAAAACGGATCCTCTGAAGTACCTGCAAAGCTCGGTGTGTACGTGCAAAACATCGAGCACTTAAGCACAAGGGCCTTATCTATACATCTGCATCGGCTCCTTCCTCCTCATCCTCTCTGTGAGGTGACATTAATCTCCCTAAACGGGGAGCCACAGTGACAGCAAAGTTTTGTGTTCGAGAAGAAGAAGGAGGAGGATAAAGATGAAGACGACTGCTGACAGGAGATTGCTGTTGTCAGACAAACAAGGATGGAGAACACTTCAGAGAAAAAGGATCCACCCTAAACCTATCAATCAGTGTCCGCTCAGTCCTCAGCTCCCCGAACCGGCTGCTGAATACAAACAAGGCCTCTACACGCATGCAGAACGGCTCCATAATAAGCCAATAAATCAATCCAAATGAAGGGACATCAAAACAGACGTGAATTAGCCGAGCAGAGTTATGAGAAGAAAATACAAAGTTATCTTAGGCGACGTGTCCAAGCGATTAATTCGAATTCCTAAGTGTCGGGCTGAAAGTTGGCTGATATCGAAGTCTTAAGGATAAACCAGTGTTAGCCGAGACTTAAGGAGGATTCAGATAAAGGGGATTAGCAGCAAAAGGTCTGGATATATTGCCCACCAGAGTCCCATGTTTTACTGTTCGCCACATTCCTAACCGGTGGTGTCAAAGTGGGGTCTCTGGCAAACATCTGTCGTGTCAGCATGACGGCTCATAAACCCCGGCCTGAGGGAGAGGGGAGAGGGCGATTAAGTAGTTAGGCTAAGTGGGCTTTCGGTTTAGCTCCACCCCAAATGCAAACAATGGCAGGGTTTTCAAACGCCGGCACAGCTAATACCCCGGTTAGAACAATACAACACCTCATCTTCTTCAGGCGTCGCCACAGCCGATCTCCGGCTTCCATCTCAACTTTTCCCAGCCTTCTCTGCCACACCCACCCACCTTTACTACATCTGTGGTCTTCCTTGTTTCCTCCTCCTTCCTGGCAGCTCCACAGTCAACATCCAATATGTCCATTTATAGCTCCTGTAAACTAAACGTCCCAAATTTCTCTGGCTAAACCCATATTTGGAACCAGAGTCTGCTCACTGGGGATGTGGAACTTTAAGCCCCACCTACACACATGACGTGTCACATGACCTTTTCGTTTAAGCTTGAAATAACTATTTAGAGCCACTGTATGTGTAGAAGAAAAATGATTATTAGCACATACAGCAGTAAGGAACTATGCTAATCAATAGAGCTGTAAGACAATATAAACAATGAAATATCATGATTTCATCTCCTGATGCTGTATCGATTTATTAAGGCTTAAAGTGCCCGTGACATGCCTATCCTTCAAATACAAAAAGTTAAAGAAAATATCTTCATATTTAAGAAAATTGGCATAGTACACAAGATTTAACCCATTTTTCTTACATAACTGGCCTATTTTCCTTTAAATTTGTTTCAGCTAAAGTGAAACAGGAAGTGACATCAAAGGGGAACTCTTTAACAAAGAAAACTCTCTGGTCTTTCTTTATTAAAACATTATTATTTGAACTCTGACTATCTCTCTCTTAAAGGGACTAAAATTATCTAAAGAAACATCAAAAGATTCCCTGCTGTTGTACCCGTTGTAGCAATGCTCTGCTCGCATGCAGACCTTCCCCTTTGACATCACTTCCTGTTATTTCACATGGAAATATCTCAACAACTGTTCACCTCAATGGTGTGAAATTGCTTTTGCAATAACTTATCCATGTTATCTTTCCAAAAGTGCAATCACATTTTTCACAAAACATTGATGTCACAGGCACTTTAATGGATAGGTGTAAGAAGAAATGTGAAATAAAAATGCAATTCTTCTGATTGCATAAAAATAAAATACATTTAATAACATTTTGATGCATGTAATAAATGGTGTGCACTTTATCCTGAATTTTTTTAAATTAAATCTTTTGAAGAGAAAATGGTGATATATTGCCTTGCTTACAGTATCACAATATATTGCAATATATCATATTGTGATCCCTGTGTTGTGTATCGTATCACCCAGTTCTAGCCAATACACACTTTAATCAACAACAATCAACACCAGAACTAAAAAACATTCTTAGGACTTGAAACTTGAACTAAAACCGGTCAACAGCAAAGGTTGGTCCCATTCTGGTGTGAGGTCTAGAGGTCCAAATTTCTCAGCCTCTCTAACTTTGCTGACAAACTGCCCAGACTGAACTGTCCCTCCAAAAAAGTCATTTTAATCCAGTTCATTTTGGTCCCTCCCAATAGAGATCTACTTCCTGTCTTTTTGTTAGAGTCAAATCAAAGCATCCCAGCAGGTAAACCTTTCTTTCCTCCAAAATAAAATGTTGTACAATAATAAAAGAACTATAGTGAAAAGGTTTTTATTTTACAAAAGGAAGAATCGGTTCTTCACTACGAAGCATGTGACACTTTACAAAAAGGGAAGTAGTTTTATTCATCTAAATTTATGTGATCCATCAATTTATCTAAATATACTTTTAACTGTCTTATAATTTAAAGACAGATTTTTATTCAATCTTTTGTTCAACTGAACCATTATTTGCTTTTTTATGTCAAAGTTTGTTTATATTTAAAACACTTGAGATATTTTTCCATTTATATTTTTGGAATTTTAACCTTATGAGACACTTTTTTGTTCTTACATTTGTCCATGCATTGTGAGACATGGAAAAAACATTTGTGGGACAAAAGAAAATAGTAAAACAAAACAAAAGTGACCCGTGATTAAATTCTTTGTGTTTATTATTTTATACAATAATCTACATTAAAATAAGCACCTTGTCAGTAAATAATGCTTAAGTACAGAAGCCTAAAGCTGTCACAAGAATGAAATTATTTTTAAACTGCATCTCGTTATAACGAGAAAACTATTTCGTTATAAAGAGAAAACTATCTCATTATGACAAGAAAACGATCTCGTTATAACAAGAAAATTATCTCGTTATAACGAGAAAACTATCTCGTTATAACAAGAAAACTATCTCGTTATAACGAGAAAACTATCTCGTTATANTTATAACGAGAAAACTATCTCGTTATAGCAAGAAAACTATCTCGTTATAACGAGAAAACTATCTCGTTATAGCAAGAAAACTATCTCGTTATAACAAGAAAACTTTCTCGTTATAAAGAGAAAACTATCTCGTTATAAAGAGAAAACTATCTCGTTATAAAGAGAAAATTATCTCGTTATAGAGAGAAAATTATCTCGTTATAAAGAGAAAACTATCTTGTTACAACGAGAAAACTATCTCGTTATAACAAGAAAACTATCTCGTTATAAAGAGAAAACTATCTCGTTATAACAAGATAATTATCTCGTTATAACGAGAAAACCATCTTGTTATAACAAGAAAACTATCTCGTTATAACGAGAAAACTATCTCGTTATAACGAGAAAACTATCTTGTTATAACAAGATAATTATCTCGTTATAACAAGAAAACTATCTCGTTATAACAAGAAAACTATCTCGTTATAATGAGAAAACTATCTCATTATAACAAGAAAACTACCTTGTAAAAACGAGAAAACTATCTTGTTATAACAAGATAACCATCTCGTTATAACATGTCATGATTTCTTCTGGTTTGCCACTTTCACAGAAGTTTATTGCCTGGATGGTGTGATGGAGAACACGACTGATCCAGTATATAAACAAAACGAACAGAATTATTTGGGTTTGTGCTCAGATGTTGCAGCTAGTAGCACATAATAATATTCACTCTCTGAATTCAGACACTATTTCAAAAACATTATTCAGTACTAACTTGTCATTTTTTAGTCTAGAAATGTGTTCCCCTTGCAGATTTCTTCTTCGTAAAAAGGCATATAATGGATCAGTCGTGTTCTCCATCACACCATCCAGGCAATAAACTTCTGTCAAAGTGACAAACTAGAAGAAACCATAACTTGTTATAACAAGATGGTTATCTTGATATAACAAGATAGTTTTCTCGTTTTTACAAGATAGTTTTCTCATTATAATTAGGTCCAGTTTAAAAATAATTTTGTGTCATGTGGCAGCTCTACGCTTCCGTACTTAAGGCTATTCACTGGTGTTTAGTACAATGAACTGATCCATACTCAGTGAGTAATTATGATCAATAATCATGATTACAGTGTTGATCAAAATAATCATGATTAGAATTGTTTTCATAACTGAGCAGATTTTTTTCTCCTCCTGCTCCAACTTCTCCCTCTCATTCCCACTGATTCTGTTCCGTCTCGACTGAGTTTCATCCCTTTGGTCTCTGCTGCACACCTCCACCTCTCTGGTCTCTCTTCCACCTGCTTCCTGCACTCCTCACAGGTCAGTGTCATCTGCAAACAGTAATCCACAGGGGACCCCTGCCTGACCTCATCTGTGCACCTGTCCATCACCACCACAAACAAGAAGAGGCTGATCTCTGATGTAATCCCACCCCCACCTGGACCCCATTTGTCACTCCTACTGCACATCTCACCACCTGTCTCTCTGTCCTTGTCCAATAAAACGCCCCTTTTTTAAATTTTTATAACTCCCACATCAAATTCAGACTCTGTTTTCTCATCTGAGTGTTTTCTCTCTCCCTGAAACGTAGCAGCACTGAATCACCCCTCTGTCTTGTTTTAATCCATTACCCTCTTCAGAGGGCACAATGATTCTCCTGTTTTTTTGTTCCTCTCTATCTCCCTCCATTGTCTCCCCTCTCCTCATCTTCCTCGCCTCCTCTCTCCATCTCGTGCAGCGCTTGGCTGCGAGCGGCCAGACCAGCGGTAAGAAATGAAATGTCTGAGTGATTAATGTCACTGTGGCAGTGCTGGCTCACGTTGGCCTGAATGGTGTTAATGAGTGTGGCCGCCTGTAGATTAACTAACAGGAGGCCGTTGAGGAAATTACACTTCCTCATCACAAGCGCTGGCAGAAGCCCTGGAGAGTTTTTTATCAGGCGTTGGCGGCAAGCTTTTAACCTTGAGCAGCCAAACGGCAACGAATGAGCTCTCCCGTGGATGTCGGACATGATTTCTCACACCCATAGGTGCGAGGAGGTTTGCTTGTGTGCCGTCGACGTCCTGCACCTCCTCCCGTCTCCATTCTTCTCCTGTTAGCAGCTGTTCCTGTCAGGGCTTCGGCTATTCACGCCCTTTCTCTCCCTATCTCTCTCTTCTTCCAGCTTCGTCTTTCTCTTCTATTATCTGCATTTGCCTCGTGAAAATCTATTGGCTCTCTGTTTTGTTCCGTCCCACTATCTTTCTCTCCCTCCTGTCCTGCTCGCGCAGTGTTTGTATGCAGCTCCTCTCTGCAACACCTCATTAATTCATGCTCTCCTCCACCCCCTCCCCTCCCACTTTCAGGAGCCAAACAATAAAAGCAGGGAGAGGGGGGCACAGGTTGAGGTGACTTGAGCACAAAAAAGAGGCGTTGGTTGGGCAAAAGTTGAAAAATCTGAGCCCCAAGCCCCCGATACCGGGGGCAGCACTGTTTATTTTTCTATTTCTTTTAACTTCTTTTAACTTCAGATGTGTCAGTTGAACCTGGACATGTTTGGTATCAAAAGAAACCTAAGAATCTTGGCTAAAAGCTCATGGAAACTATTTTTTACATTAAAGGCCGGTGTCACACTACAAGAAAATCAGGCCAATTTTTACCTTCCAACAATCTTAAGGAAGTCCAGATTATCATGATGGCTCTAAAGATAATCTGAGCAGATATTCCTGCCGTGTGTGGTGAGTTAAGAGTGATCTAGTCGGCTCGGAACGATGTCGGGACCGCTCCGACCTCAAATCATATACACTGCTCAAAAAAATAAAGAGAACACTTAAACAACGCATGCTAACTCCAAGTAAATAAAACTTTTGTGAAGCACATTCAACTCTGTACAGAACAAAGTGCTCAATGCGAATATTTCATTGATTAAGATCGGGAGTTAGCGTGTGTTGTTTAAGTGTTCCCTTTATTTTTTTAGTGTTCCCTTTATTTTTTTGAGCAGTGTATGTTCAACATGTTTGATTTTTTGGCCTGATATCACAGTGTGTGTAGTGTTCACCTGAGCTCTCAGCCTGTTGAATGAGACGTGTAGCCAATCAGAAAGCGAGGTGATGTAAACACGGAGGGTATTCCAAATACAGAAGACAAAAAACTGTCATGACTCACCAGAAAGTCTGCTGGATGTTAAAAGTCCTATGGAATTGTTTTTCCTCTGGTAAAAATAGTCCACAAATGATCAACATTGTTTCTTCCTCGTTGCAAATGTTTATTTACTCTGAACTCACGTCTCTGGAGGTCATGTAAGATTTTTTTCTCAGACAAATGAATTCTCGTGAGATTTCAGGAAGTCTCGTGTGATTTAATATCTGACAGTTCCTGAATGAAATATATTTTCGTGTGTGGTGTGTTGTCTCTTGCCACACACTGTAGGACCAAACCTGGTAGATCCAGGATATTTTCTCCTCTCGTGTGGCTCTATCAGTCTTTGAAAATCGGCCGACTGTTTTAAAATCTTGTAGGGTGACTCAGCCTTAACAAACACAGTTCAAACGTCAAGCAGTTGAATCAGAAAGTAAACAAACTGTATAAAATGGTGTCATTGTAAATCTGTAAATACATTACAACAAATCTGTAAATACATTACAACAAATCTGTAAATGAATTTTTTGACGTTATTTTTTTAAAGCAAGTCAAATTAGATACCTAAATATGTTGTAAAGTGGGTTGAAAGGTTTTTTTTCCACTTGATTTCGAGTGAAAATGGTCCAACTGAATCAAATATAGT